TGAGCCTTATAAACTGAAAAAAATGTAGAATCACTTTGAGAATTCATTAAGGGAAAGAGGATAACATAGACCAGTTTGGGGATAACAAAGATCATAGGCAGTATTTTGGGGGGAAAATCAATTTACGTATTTACCCTAAAGCGCACAAATCTTAGTATTGTAGCTGTTGATGAAATTATTTTGGCTGGGTACAGTGGCTCACACCTGTAATACCTACACTTTGGAAGGTCAAAGCAGAAAGATGGCTTGAGCCCAGGAGTTCAAGACCAGTCCGGGCAACATAGTGAGACCCCCATCTCTAAAAATAAAAATTAATTAATTAAAATTTATAAAGAAACTATTTTATCAGGCAGGGTTACTTTCCTTTTGCAATCTCATTTTTTTTTTCCAGTAAAAACTCTGTATATATTTCTTGTGCTGCTTTTCTGCAGGATATAAAAGAAGTCACTGGTGCCCATGTTTTTATCCAGAATGTATGGTGGCAATAACAATCAGGAAGAGAAAGTGGACCTTCTCTTTCCTTTGACACCCTTGGAAAATCCGAGTTGCAATTTGTTATGCTCTACATACAAGATAAGGCAACAGGCCTCCTTGGAAAAATGAATTCTCGTGGCTGATATCAGACACTGGAACCCCCCAGCAGTGGACCCAAGAGCCCCAGAATCAATTCAGATCTAAATCTGCTCAGCTTGTCAAGTACACCCATTGGGCATCCCAACCCAAGTGTTGCCAAACAGAGTGGGATGACCATGGACCATGGACCCTTAAAAACTATTTATATTCTGCTTCATTACGCATGTTCATTCTCAAATGCTCCCCTACATATTTTTAAAATGAAAAAACCAACAGCTATATACCTTTATTTATTTATTTATTTATTTATTGAGACAGAGCCTCACTCTGTCACCCAGACTGGAGTGCAGTGGTGCGATCTCAGCTCACTGTAACCTCCACCTCCTGGGCTGAAGGGATTCTCGTACGTCAGCCTCCCGAGTAGCTAGGACTACAGGCACATGCCACATGTCCGGCTAATTTTTTGCATTTGTAATAGAGATGGGGTTTCACCACGTTGGCCAGGCTGATCTCACACTCCTGGCCGCATGTGATCCACCTGCCTCGGCCTCCCAAAGTGCTGGGATTACAGACGTGAGCCACCACGCCCAGCCTAGCTATATTCTTTGAAACATATTTATTCCTAATATATAAACACCTTGTGTTTTTTTCCTCTTTCAAAATTTCTGTTCATGACTAACTCTGATTTATCTGAGTTTTAAACTGTTAGAGAAACTCTTATCTAATTTTTGCTTTTTTTACTTTTGTTGATTTTATTTTTTTTGAGGTAGAATCTTGCTCTCTTGCCCAGGCTGGAGTGCAGTGGCACCATCTCGGTTCATTGCAACCTCTGCCTACTGGGTTCAAGCAATTCTCCTGCCTCAGCCTCCCAAGTAGCTGGGATACAGGCATGTGCCACCACGCCTGGCTATTTTTTTTTTTTTTCTGAGACAGAGTCTCACTCTGTCGCCCAGGCTAGAGTGCAATGGCGTGATTTCGGCTCACTGCAACCTTCGCCTCCCAGGTTCAAGTGATTCTCCTGCCTCAGCCTCCCCAGTTGTTGGGACTACAGGAGCCCACCTCCAGACCTGGCTAATTTTTATATTTTTAGTAGAGACAGTTTTCACCATGTTGGTCAGGCTGGTCTAGAACTCCTGACCTCAGGTGATCCACCCGCCTCTGCCTCCCAAAGTGCTGGGATTACCTGTATGAGCCACCGTGCCTGGTCTGCCTTTTTTTTTTTTTTTTTTTTTGTAATAGGGAAGGGGTATCACCCTATTGGTCAAGCTGGTCTCAAACTCCTGGCCTTAAGTGATCCGCTCGCCTTGGCCTCCCAAAGTGCTGAAATTACAGGCGTAAGCCACCATGCCTGGCCTGCTTTTTTACTTTTGAAATGTTTGTTGGATATTCATCTTTCCATACCATCATCAGTTAATTGAATTTTTAGCAGAAATGTCATCTCTGTATCCTCATGCATCATTTCCTTGTATTGTCTCTAATAATACAATACAGCGGGTTGAAATCCTTAATGCAAGGGCAGATTTGGCACTCATGTTGTGTTTTCATGGTGCTCTGCCAAACTTCGGGGTGAGCATTGAGCTACTGGAGAGTCAAGGGGCCTGGGATTAAATCCTGACATCATGTTTTGGCAATAACGTATTTTTGGCGAGGCATCAAATACCTCTGTGCTTCAATCTCATGCCTGTAAAACAGGGGTCATCATTCTTACCCTGCTTATATAAAGGAAGATTCATGTGCTGAGCCTTGAGGGATGGGACACCTTCTAAATATGATGGTAGAGAAATGGCACCCTGGGGGAGAGAACAGCATGTGCAAAGATGAGAGATATACAGGGACTCTAAGTGGTACACCTTTTACTGAAATGTAGAGTATTAATGAAAGAGGAATGACAGGCCAGGCATGGTAGCTCATACCTTAATCCCAGAACTTTGGAAGGCAGAGGTGAGTGAGGCACCTGAGGTCAGGAGTTCAAGGCCAGCCTGGTTGATATGGTGAAATCCTGTCTCTACTAAAAGTAGAAAAATTAGCCAGCTGTGGTGGGGGGCACCTGTAATCCCAGCTACTTGGGAGGCTGAGGCAGGAGAATCACTTGAACCTGGGAGGTGGAGGTTGCAGTGAGCCAAGATCGCGCCATAGCACTCCAACCTGGGTGACAGAGTGAGACTGTGTCTCAAAAAAAAAAAAAAAAAAAAAGAAAAGAAAGAAAGAAAAGAAAGAAGAATCACAACAAAGACAGGGAAAGCGGGCTGAAACTAGATTTTTAAGGCAGCTGAATGACATGTTAAGAACATTTCTGCTGGACAGGCCAACTCCCTTCCTTTAAAAAAAAAGAAAAAAAGTTGGCATGGTGCTGTGGCTCACGCCTGTAATCCCAACACTTTGGGAGGCCAAGGTGGGCGGATCACAAGGTCAGGAGTTTGAGACCAGTCTGGCCAACATGGTGAAACCCTGTCTCTACTAAAAAAATACAAAAATTAGCCAGGCATGGTGGCGTGCGCCTGTAATCCCAGTTACTCGGGAGGCTAAGCCAGGAGAACTGCTTGAACCTAGGAGGCAGAGGTTGCAGTGAGCTGAGATCGCACCACTGCACTCCAGCTGGGCAACAGAGCAAGACTGTATCTCAAAAATAAATAAGTAAATAAAATAAAATAAAAATAAAACAAAATTTTATAGGACAGGGTCTCACTATGTTACCCAGGCCAGTCTTGAACTCCTGAGCTCAAGTAATACTCCTGCCTCAGCCTCCCAAAGTGCTAGGATTATAGGCACGAACCTCCATAACCAGCCCTAATTCCCTTCCTAGAAGCCTCAAAGTACTGCCAACAGTCCCTTCTGAGTGGGTCTTTACACACGGATGGCCATCCAGATGGACCACCACCTAGCCAGACAATGGGGGGACCTGACTCATCATCCTTATGGGGTGGCCAGTAGCCTATGGGTACAGTGGCCTGAAGGCTCTTCCTCACAGGGCCCCTTATGTTAACCGATTACTGGTGGGACCATTTGTTCTCTTTCAGTGGACATATATTGAGTCCTTCAGTAGAATCAGTAAACGTAGAGAGGAGGTGAGTAACTAAGAAGTGGTAGGTGCCTGTTGATGAGGTGTAACAGCTCAACTGCTGGCTCAACTGTGCTACAACCTGAAAGATCTTCTGCTTCTCGATTACCCGTGAGGGCTACCACTGTGAAGTTTTTTTTGTTTTGTTTTTTCTTTTCCTTTCGTTTGAGACAGAGTCTCAGGCTGGAGTACAGTGGCGTGATCCCCACTCACTGCAGCCTTGGCTCCCGGGCAATTCGCCTGCCTCAACCTTCTGAGTAGCTGGGAGTACAGGTGCACACCACCAGGCACAACTAATTTTTTTTTTTTTTTTTTCCAGTAGAGACGAGGTTTTACCATATTGGCCAGGCTGGTCTCCAACTCCTGACCTCAGGTGATCCACTCACCTCGGCCTCCCAAAGGCTGGGATTACAGGTGTGGGCCACCACACCTGGCCACTTTTTAAATTTGTGGTAACAGCTGTGTTCTGAACCACAACCCTGCTGTGAGCAATGACATATAAAGTGCGAGGTGCAGCCAGTGACCACAAGGCATTTATTTTGCCTGAACACATCCAGCTGTTACACAGAGCAAGCCTCACTTCTTCCTATTAGCAGAATCCTTTTCTACCTGACCTGAGCTCAGTGTTGAATTTCAACCTTCATCTTATCCTTGAGCTATTGTTGGAGTTTCAGTTTTTCAAGACGCTCATAATCCTTGGCTTTCCTCTCAAGTAAAGAAAAAAAAAAGCAGCATATTAATTTTTTAAAATAGAGATGGGGTTTCACTATGTTGCCCAGGCTGATCTTGAATTCCTGGGCTCAAGCGATCCTCCCGCCTTGGCCTCCCAAAATGCTGGAATTATAGCCATCAGCCACTGTGCCTGGCCGTTTAATTTTTCTTCAATTTTTTTTTTTTTTTTTTTTTGAGATGTTGCTCTGTTGCCCAGGCTGAAGTACAATGGTGATCTCGGCTCACTGCAACCTCTGCCTTCTGGGTTCAAGTCATTCTCTTGTGCCTTTATTATTTATGATAACCTTTTTTATTTTATTTTAAGGAAAGAGACCACTACTACTCCTGCTGCCCTCCCACCCTCACCTTGCCTAGTTCACAAGACAGGAGGAAAGAGAGAAAGGATCAAAAGTAAGATAAATAGCTAGACAACCTTGGCACTACCACCTGGCCCTAGGAGTTAAACAAAGTAATAATAATAACATCAATCCCTGACTTAACTACTTGTGTTATCTGTAAATCCTAGACACTGTTTGAAAAAAAAAAGCACTGTAAAACTTTTTGTTCTGTTAGCTGATGCATGTGGGCCCCAGTCACATTTCCCATGCTTGCTCTATTTATCACGACCCTTTCACGTGGACCCCTTAAAGTTCTAAGCCTTTAAAAAGGCCAAGTATTTCTTTTTTGGGGAGCAAGGCTCTTAAGATGCGAGTCTGCTGACGCTCCTAGCCGAATAAAAAACCTCTTCCTTCCTTAATCCGGTGTCTGAGGAGTTTTGTCTGCAGCTTGTCTGCGGCTTGCCTGACTCCAGCCTGAGACTCTGTCTCAAACAAAAGGAAAAGAAAAAACAAAACAAAAAAAACTTCACAGAGGTAGCCCTCACGGGTAATCGAGAAGCAGAAGATCTTTCAGGTTGTAGCACAGTTGAGCCAGCAGTTGAGCTGTTACACCTCATCAACAGGCACCTACCACTTCTTAGTTTTGCCTGCTGCTTTTCTTGGTTCCCTGACCGGGAAGCGAGGTGATTAAAGGACAGTCGAGGCAACCTCTTAGGCAGCTTATGCCTGCCCTGTAGAGCATCGCTGCAGGGGACTCTGGCCAGCTTGAGCGATGCGGAGCCTGAGAGCACTCCAGGATAGGCATTTGCCCCGGTGGAACGCCTCCTCAGCAGGCCCCTGTGGGGGATCAACACAGTGGCTGAACACCGGGAAGGAACTGGCACTTTAAGTCCGGACATCTGAAACTTGGTAAGACTGGTCTTTGGAACTTGCCCACTCCATTTGAGTGGAAGCGTGGCCTGATCACCCACGGCGTGCCTGTACCGGCACTTTGGTTTTTGTTTTTGACTTGACTTGAATTAATTGCTTGATACTTTGGTTTTTGTTTTTGACTTGACTTGAATTAATTGCTTGATACTTTGGTTTTAGTTTTGATTTTGACTTGACTTGAATTGCTTGATAAACAGGGGTGCCTTTATTGGCACTTTGGTTTTGGTTCTGATTTTGACTTTGGCTTAAATTGCTTGACCAACAGGTGTGCCTTTAACAACACTTTGGTTTTAGCTTTGATTTTGATTTAGTGTGAATTAGGTGAGTGAGTGACTTTTTAACCTTTCCTTCTTGTAGTGTGAATGTTGTTTTGTCTTGAGAGAAGAATAGATCAGACACTCCGCTAGGAACTGGGTTAAAAAAATTTCAACAAGAGAAAAGGAAAGTCATCAAATCATCAAAACTTACTCTATTAAAATGCATGTTACAGAATCTCTTTGCAGGAGATTATAGAGTTAAGTTAATCCCTTAGAGGTTAAGATCTCTGTGTGAATTAGAACTGCCCTCTTTTGGTGTTGGATGGCCCACCGAAGGAAATATAAATGAAGAACAATTGGCCATGTATTTAAGGTGGTGACAGAGGTTGGAGGACAGCCAGTGTACCTAGATCAAATTCCTTTATAGTGACTCATGGTTAAATATAATATAGACAAAACCAGCATAAATTTAGCCCTGTTTAACAGCTTATTGCAAAAAAGCCAAAGGTAAAAGTAAGAGCAGCTTCACCAGCAGACACGGAGTTAGAAAAGGGAGTCCCAGAAACAGCAAGAGAAGCCAATTTTGCAGGAGCCACCAGAGATAATAGAAATTCTTTCTCTATATGTCCCAGCCTACCGTGCTTTACCAAGGCCAACAGCTCCCTCAGAAACGAGATTCAGGAGCTCCCTCTCAGGGAGACGCGAGGACCTGTCTATTACAATCAGGCCCACATGGCGGGGGTGGGCAACAGACTTTCATCTATCAGCCCTTTTCAACCATTGATCTACTAAACTGGAAACACCCTGAACCCGCCACCTTGCTCCCGGCAGCACGACTGTGTAGAGGTGTTGGACTCAAGTTTACTCTAGCAGACCTGACCTCCGGGACCAGCCTTGGGCATCAGTAGACTAGGAGCTATATGTGGACGGGAACAGCTTCATCACCCACAGGGAAAGAGATGTGCAGAATATGCGGTGGTAACCCTCGACACTGTCGTTAAGCTGAGCTCATTGCTTTAATTCGGGCCCTAGAACTCAGTAAAGCTAAAACTGTAAACATTTACACTGACTCTCGGTATGCCTGTTTAACCATCCAAGTGCATGGAGAATTATATAAAGAAAAGAGCCTGTTAAACTCTAGGAAAAAGGGGAAGAAAACACCCAGAGAATGCAACTCAGCTTCAGCGTTTACAGAGGTACTGAGAAGCACTTCTGCAGAGGCTAAGAGTTGGTAGAAAAAAGCAAGTAATATAAAAAAAGATTCCAGGATTGCTTCAAGGAGCTGACAAGATCCTAAGTCAGTTTTATAAGAGACTGTATAAAGCATTCTGGGCCGGGCGCGGTGGCTCAAGCCTGTAATCCCAGCACTTTGGGAGGCTGAGACGGGCGGATCACGAGGTCAGGAGATCAAGACCATCCTGGCTAACACGGTGAAACCCCATCTCTACTAAAAATACAAAAAAATTAGCCGGGCGTGGTAGCGGTGCCTGTAGTCCCAGCTACTCGGGAGGCTGAGGCAGGAGAATGGCGTGAACCCGGGAGGCGGAGCTTGCAGTGAGCTGAGATCCCGCCACTGCACTCCAACCTGGGCAACAGAGCAAGACTCCGTCTCAAAAAAAAAAAAAAAAAAAAAAAAAAGCATTCTGGCTTTACGCCCCATTTAACCCTGAGGCTGCTGAAAATCAATATATAGTGAATACTTCATTTGTAAAGCAAGTCCATGGTAACATCAAGCAGAAGCTGCAGGCATGAATATCATCCAGTCTATAAAAGTGGCCATCGAGGTGTATGTTAACTGTAACAAAGAAACAAAACTGGGAAAGAGCAAAAGAAAAAGAAAGACTAAGAGTAAGTGTAAAAAAAGAGAAATTAGCAACGTGAGAGGACGTGGACGTGGATGTAGATATGAAAGAAGTCAAGTTAGGCAAAGATGCAAGCGCCGGACCAGGCTAGAGAGAGATTAATGTGCGAGATGCAAAAAGAAAAGGACACTAGAAGGGTAAATGTTCAAAAAGGCAATAAAGGAAATGGCCAAGGCTGCAAGACAAAGAGGCCATCGGCCAAGGGCTGCTGCACCTTGGAGGAACCAAACACTGATCTGATCAGACTGACAGGAGCTGAATAATGTAAAGATTAGGGCAGACTTTATATTAGGCTCCCAGGAGCCCACGGTCACATCAGAAGTTAAAAGCAGCAAGATTCTGCCATATCTGGATTCCAATTTCTCACTGAAGGCTAAGCCACTAAATAGAATTACAAAGGGGTTGTGGAGGGAGAAGAACCCCATCCTCTAAGAAACTTAGACAGGAAAAAGAGCCATACCTTGTGAAAACTTGCTTATAGACTTTACAGAACTGCCCCGTGCTGGAGGCTATCGGTACATGCTAGTGCTTGTTTGCTCATTTAAAATAAAATCAGGTTTTTGCCTATGGTCCTCCTCTGAGTCAGGTGCACCCCCACCGAACAAACTAGGTATTTGCCCTATAAGATTTTGTTTGGTTGGCCACCCCCAAATCATAGGTAAAATTAAAGGTGACCTCCTGAAACTAAAGAAATTAACCTTAAGAAAGCAAATGCAGGTTTTAAAAATAGCCATACAAAGTGTTCATAATTAAATAAATGAAAATGCCTATAAGCCTGACACCCCTTTAAATCTAGTGACTCTGTTTAAAGTAAAATCTAATTTTTCTAGGACCCATATAAGATGGGCCCTATACTGTAACCTTGTCCACTCCCACTGCTGTTAAAGTTGCAGGTGTTGTGTCTTGGATCCACCACAGTCAGCTAACACCGGCAGCTCAGGACAAGTGGACCAGCCGGCAGGACACAGATCATCCAACCTGGCTGATCCTGAGACGAGACCAAGCTGCTACTGAGGATGACAGCCCTGTTCTGGTCACTCCGGATACTGACCAGTCTACGCAAGGCTGAAGCTTGAGGAGACAACAAGCCCTTCTCTAGTCACACACCGGCAGCTGACTAGTCTACACATGGTCGAAGCTTGAGGACTTGTCAAGCAAGTAAATGTAGTTAAAAGTCTTAATAGTTTTCCTGCAATACTAACTGTTTTCCTATTGTTCTGTCGCTGTATTCAACCTTTTTCCCAGATAAGGACCTCTTTTGTCCTTGCTGTACATTGTTTTGTTGTTGTTACCCCCCATAACCATGCTAGAAGAAACACCTATATAAGGTGTCACTACTGTACACATGCTACTTAGGAAACCCAGACCCGTCCAGTCCAGCAACAATTCCGAGTCTTACAGTCATTCTTTAAACAGAAACCAGAAGTTACCAGAACCTCTTCCTTTAGCAAAAACAGAAAAAGCCTATTTGCTCAGTTGGCTGAACACATTGCTGGCAGTCTGGATGTTCCTTCATGTTATGTTTATAAAAAGGCTAACATAGGAGACCAATGGCCTTGAGAAGCAAAAGAGTTAATGCCTCAAGATAACTTTACTTTAACTCTTTCCCCAAACAGATACCCCAAGTTCAAGCATCTGGCTCTTAAAAACTTCTGTTATTAAAAAATACTGTGTTACTCGCTAAGAAAAAGCTTTTCAGACCCAGTGACAAAACTAACCTGCTTAGGACATGACAAAGTTGATACATGTGCCTGTACCAGTTTAACACAGGTTTGATCCTAGGTCTTCATTTAGAAAATAGTTTCCAGCTATAAAAATTTAAAACCCTCATTATAAGTATATTACTGGTAATAGAAAGTTACTTGCTGCTCCCCTGTGTATTACACTTGTTCCTTCAAATGATAAAAGGTTTTGTAGCTACCATGGTTCATCAGAAAACTTCAGGACAAGTGTATTACATAAAACACTATCGCTCTGTATCGCAAAGAGACTCAGAAAGTAAAAATAAAAGTGAGAACTCCCAGTAATTAGTGAAAATTCTCAAAGCAGGGGACAAGGTCTCTGTCACACAAGCTGGAATGCAGTGGCGCGATCGTGGCTTACTGCAGCCTCAACCTCCCAGGCATCAGTCCTCCCACCTCAGCCTCCTGAGTAGCTGGCACCACAGGCACGCATCAGCATGCCCAGCTAGTTTTTGTATTTTTAGTAGAGATGCGGTTTCACCATATTGCCCAGGCTAGTTCTGAACTCCTGAGCCCAATCAATCCAGCCGCCCTGGCCTCCCAAAGAACTGAGATTACAGGCTTGAGCCACTGCACCCAGCCTATTCATAGTAATTTTTAAGTGGCCTAGGTCAGTGCCTCACAATCTTTAACAATCACGTGAATCACATGGGAGTCTTGTTGAAATGCTGATTCCAGGCTAGGTGCAGTGGCTCCCGCCTGTAATCTCAGCTCTTTGGGAGGTCGAGGTGGGCAGATCACTTGAGGTCAGGAGTTCCAGACAAGCCTGGCCAACATGATGAAACCCCATCTACACTAAAGATACAAAAATTAGTCGGGTGTGGTGGTGCATGCCTGTGATCCCAGCTACTTGGGAGGCTGAGGTAGGAGAATTGCTTGAACCTGGGAGATGAAGGTTGCAGTGAGCTGAGATCACACCACTGCACTCCAGCCTGGGCAACAGAGCAAGACTCCATCTCAAAAAAAAAAAAAAAAAAAGCTGATTCCAATTCAGTAGGCCTGGGGTAGGCCTGAGAATCTGCATTTCTTACACCACCCAGATGGTGATGGTGCTGCTAGCTTACAGACCAAATGGGGTATAGAGCATTTTATCTACCTGTAATCGTTAATGAACTGATTAAAAAAAAAAAAACTCTCTAAAAATCAAAACAACAGCTATTGATGTTTTCCTCTTACTACCAGGATCTTATGTTGCTTACAATATATTAAATATTCTGTCTATTTGTGGTTATCAGTCTCCTTGTCTAGATTAATTGTACTTATTAGCCCAGGAATCTGTGCTAAATCTCTAAAGCTGAGTTAGGTCTCCATGGCAATTTTGTAGCTTTGCCAGCCTCGCTGCTAGGTAGGCTACCAAAACTCCAGAATAAACACACTTTCCAGGCAACTTTTTTGGATCACTTCCTCCACTTCCAACCTGGCGGACCCAGTGGCTGATGTTCAGGTTGTGCTTACGTACAGTGCCGAGCAGGGCACTGAAGACCCGGGTGGGCTAAATCCTGCTTGGCAGCTTCCTGTGATGTGTGTGTGGTTGTGTTAGAGGATTTTATTTTTTTCCCCTTCAGCAGTTCTGATGGGATCTTTTGCCTTCTTGCACCATTTCTGAAGTTCCCGGGCCTGTTGTTTGACCCAGTGTGTCTCACAGTCATCTGCATCATGCCTGTGGTCTTCTTGGGTGACAATGGGAATGCCCTGGTGTTAGAACCCTGTACTCCTGACATAAACAGCGATAAACAGCGTGGTATCATTTTTGCGTCCCTGCAATCCCTTTGTTCCACTGTTGCCCTTTCTTTTTTTTTTTTTTTTTTTTTTTTTGAGACAGTCTCGCTCTGTCACCCAGGCTGGAGTGCAGTGGCATGATCTCAGCTCACTGCAACCTCTGCCTCCTGGGTTCAAGCAATCTTCCTGTCTCAGCCTCCCAAGTAGCTAGGATTACAGGTGTGCATCACCACGCCCAGCTAATTTTTGTAGTTTTAGTTTTATAGGATTGGGGTAGGTAAAGGAAAATTACAGTCAAAGGGGTTGTTCTCTGGCAGGCAGGGGTGGGGGCATCCCGAGGTGCTCAGTGGGGGAGCTTTTGAGCCAGAATGAGCCAGGAAAAGGAATTTCACAAGGTAATGTCATCAGTTAAGGCAGGAACAGGACATTTTCACTTCTTCTGTGGTGGAATGTCATCACTTAAGGCAGGAACTGGCCATCTAGACGTGTATGTGCTGGTCACAGGGGATATGATGACTTAGCTTTGGCTCAGAGGCCTCACAGAGATCATCCTGGCTAACATGGTGAAACCGTATGTCTACTAAAAATACAAAAAATTAGCCGGGTGTGGTGGTGGGCACCTGTAGTCCCAGCTACTCGGGAGGCTGAGGCAGGAGAATTGCTTGAACCCGGGAGGCAGAGCTTGCAGTGAGCCAAGATCACACCACTGCACTCCAGCCTGGGTGACAGAGCGAGACTCCATCTCAAAAAAAAAAAAAAAAAAAAAAATGAATGAGGTTGAGGTTGGCCGGGTGCAGTGGCTCACACCTATAATTCCAGCACTTTGGGAGGCTGCGGTGGGCAGATCACCTGAGGTCAGGAGTTCGAGACCAGCCTGGCCAAAGTGGTGAAACCCCATCTCTACTAAAAATGCAAAAATTAGCTGGGTGTGGTGTTGGGCGCCTGAGGTAGGAGTTGCTACTTGGGAGGCTGAGGTAGGAGAATTGCTTGAACCCAGGAGAAGGAAGTTGCAGTGAGCCGAGATTGTGCCACTGCACTCCAGCCTGGGCAACAGAACAAGACTCTGTCTCAAAAAAAAAGAAGAATGAATCAGGCATCTGTTACTACATAGCAATCTACCCTAAGACACAGGTGATTAAAAACAGTCATCGTTTACTTATTTATTTAGCACAATTGTGAAGGTTGATCGGGTAGTTCTGCCACTGGCCTCACGTGGACTCACTCCTACAGCTGCAGAAAGCTGAGGGCTCAGCAAGAGCTGGGAGTCCACAGTGGTCCCACTCACATGCTCAGGCTTCAGGTAGGACAGCTGGAAGAGCTGAGATGGCCTTTCTTCCCAGGCTACTTCACAGCGTGGTGATCAGGGAGAGATTCTGTGATGCAGTAAGCTTTGAGCTGAGGTCTTCTGAGGGGTTCAAAGGCTGTTGTAAGTAGGCAAAAGGGGAGAGGCTGGTAAGAGCAAGGGAACTTATTTACAAGAAGGAATCACATGAGTTGAGAACCCATGAGGTGGGAAGAAGTATGATGGTTTCTAGAAATAAAGGAATAGTCAGTTCGGCTACTACACACAAGAAAAGGGGGAGCATGGAGGATGGATCACGCATGTTCAAGGAACTAGGGATTTTTTGTTTTAATTCTCATACTAACATTACCAGGAAGGGTCCCAATCCAGATCCCAAGGGAGCGTTCTTGGATCTTGCACAAGAAAGAATTCAAGGCAAAACCTCAGCAGAAATTAAGTCAACAGTATCTGGGTGGATAGAGTAAAGTGAAAGGAAGTTTATTAAGAAAGAAAAGGAATAAAGAATGGCTACTCCATAGGCAGAGCAGCCCCAAGGGCTGCTGGTTGGCTATTTTTTATGGTCAGTTCTTGATTATATCCTAAACAAGGTGGGGATTATTCATAAGTTTTCTGGGAAAGGGATGGGCAATTTCTGGAAATGAGGGTTTCCCCCCTTTCAGATTATATAGGGTAACTTTCTGATGTTGTCATGGCATTTGTAAACTGCCATGCTGCAGGTGGGAGTGTCTTTTAGCATGCGAATCCATTATAATTAGTGTATAATGAGCAGTCAGGATGACCAGAGGTCACTTTTGTCACCATCTTGGATTTGGTGGGTTTTGACCAGCTTCTTTACCGCACCTTTTTTCAGCAAGGTCTTTGTGACCTGTACTTTGTGCCAACCTCCTATCTCATCCTGTGACTAAGAATGCCTAACCTGGGAATGCAGTCCAGTAGGTGTCAGCCTTATTTTACCCAGCCCCTATTCAAGATAAAGTTGCTCTGGTTCAAATACCTCTGGCACTAAGAATAATAGGAAACCACTGAGAGGTTTTTTTGTTTGTTTGTTTTAATACAGATGGTATTTTGCCACGTTGCTCAGGTTGGTCTCAAATTCCTGGGCTCAAGCAATCTGTTCAACCTCAGCCTCCCAAAGTGTTGGGATTATAGGAGTGAGCCATGGTGTCCAGCCTGAAAGGTTTTAAGTGTAGGGAAGTTTAAACTTTCCCTCTGAAAGCTCAAACTAATAGGCAGCTAACAAGAAAAAATGCATACAAATTTATTAAAGTGCCCATGGACACAAGAGACTCAAAGAAGGGCCAGGTAGTTGAGGCCTAATAGCACCCTTTTCATAGGGGAAAGGGAGATGGAGGACATAGGTGATTGTGAGGGAATAATGAATGAGCCCAAAGAAC